GCTGTTGTCTCTGCTATCATCTTTAGGATCAGAGTGACAGCATCTGAAAAAGCTGGAGTGAGGCAGCAGGGAAATATGTGAGCCCTGGAGGCTAGCTGGTTTCCTTGTTATTTAGGAATGGAGTATTAAAAAGCAAATTGAGGGTGGTTTTTTTTTTTCTGTGTGAGTTTTGTTTTTGTTTTTTTCAGCACAGAGAGTCTTTTGGCTGAAATGAAATGCCCTCGGTGTGGTTGGGTCAGGTCCCAGAGGCACTGATGTTTGGGGAAGATGAAGCTCTGAAACTAGCCCTCTTGTGTACAGAGTTGAGTCCCCTGATCATCACAAAGTCAGGAATCAATGCCTGCTTTGCAGTGCTGGCTGTGCAGCAAGGCTAACCAAGTATTTCTGTATCAGCTCTTGGACTCTTAAAATGGGCAAGCATGTATTCCATGTTTCTGCATTGCCCAAAACAGTGGCGTCCCAGTCTCCTCTGAAAACAAAATTTAGTACATGACCAAGATTATTTCATGACCAAGTTTGATAGAGTTCCCAGGCTCAGAACTGCTCATAGCCAGAGGCCACATCTCCTTGAAATCTTATAAGGGCCCTGTAAGCTTTTGAAAGAGCAGCCCTGCATAATTCCATGCCCTTGATCCCTTGGCTGCCCCAGGCCAGCATGCAGCCCCAGGTACCAGAGCAACTGCTCTCCTCTGCTCCCCTCATTGCCTGGACAAATGGGAAAGTTACCCTGGGGTAGGCTGACATAGAAACTTCCAGTGCTCCAGCTGCTTGATGACAATTGCCTAGCAGCGTGTCATCATGGGCCAGATCTCATTGCTTTCTCACTGCTTTCCTGGAGACTTCAGGGAAGTAGCATGAGCATGGGCAGTGCACACACAGTAGGTGACACCATGCTGGTTCACATCCTGCTTTACACCAGATAGATTATGTCTGTGTTATTATACAGAAGAAAACATCTTAAGTATCACAACGCTGTGGCAGATCATGACTCCTTTTAGTAGAAAAGAGTAAGGCCTTCAAAATTTCTCCTTCAGAAGTGAAAGCCTGGAAGAGCTATATCTGAAATTTGTCCAGACAAGATCACGTTATTGTCTTGACCTCTTTTTAATACCTCTCAATTTTTTTCCTTCTAAACATCCATTATTAAGCAATATGTCAGATGATGCTTTACTTGTACGTCTGAACTCTTGACTTCAACAGGAAAAATAAAGCTACAATCAATAAGTCGAAAACAAAATAGAGAAGTAAGACATCACTTGTGTTTCTTATCTCAGCTGAAATAGTAACAATAGCACACATTACTTCATCAGAGCTTGCATGCATTACATCATACCAATGCTAGTGGTGGGAAAAGAAAGAGGAGACCATATCAAAATATTAGCTAGGCACACGTGCAAGGGGAGAAATAAAATAAAAAAAATAAAGTGGTCAAGAGTGCTGAAATTAAAATTTTGCAAAAGATTGCCTGTTTATAAACAGTAATGCAAAGAGTGATGTTGGAGAAACTGATAATCATTTAATGAGCTATGCAGTATTGCTTCTTCTTAGTTTTCTGGGGCAAGAGTTGCTCTGGTGTGAATGGAAGAAAGGGCTGCTCAACCATGACTACATTTCCTGACGTGACAACACGTACAGAACCAGATGGTACTCCCAGGAAGATCCACCACCTGTACTCATTGGAAGACGGCTAATGATGCACCTCTAATTGCAACACTATTCACTCTAAGACACCAATTATAGATTTTGTCTAAATATTCTGACCACATCTCCTACAAGATTGGGCTTTTAGGGGAATTCAGCCAAACCACTCAACTGTCCTATAAACACACTTGCAGAAGCTGTAAGCTGTACTATGTGCTCTCTACACTTTATTGCAGGTGATATCCAACGGAAATTTTGAGCCATTTAAGCAGACCAACTTTTTAAAATAAAATGGAACTATAGCTATTATCAAGCCTCCAAGTAGTGGTAACATTTTCAATAAAATAATAAATAAACAACATAAAACTGAGAGATTTCAGTTCCTGTTCCTCACTACTTGGCATTCAAAGCACATCCTGTTGCATTACATTGTTTCCTACTGTACTGTGCTATGAGGAGATATAAAACTTTTTCTAAATGTTATGTTTCCTAATTCTGAAGACAACATTAAATTCTTTTTTTTTTTTTTTTTCTATCATGTGGTGGGCATTGTTTTGGCCTGACAAAATTTCCTGATAATACTGTTTTTCTTCAAGGATAAATATTTTCATACCAAAGAGTGTTTTGCAAAATCTGCAAGATTCTTTATTTATGTGATGGGAATTATTCTGGACAAATCTCTGGATAGTTTCGGGGTACTACTATTGATCGTTTAGTGAGTGTTGGTGAGTGTTTATAGAAATACAAACATTCTTGCTTCCTACTGTATTATGAAAAATACTGCTTCCTATAACATTTGCTTTAAAAACAGATTTCTATACAATCCATTTTAGTTGCTTGTTCAGAACACTGTATCAGTTTCCAAACTCATGCTTAATATGCTTTTATATCATAGAATCATAGAGTGGCCTGGGTTGAAAAGGACCACAAAGATCATCTAGCTTCAACCCCCCTGCTATGTGCAGGGTCCAGAGCCACATCCAGCCTGGCCTTGAATGCCTCCAGGGACAGGGCATCCGCAAACTCCTTGGGCAACCTGTAACCAGTGCATCACCACCTTCTGAGTGAAAAACTTCCTCCTAGTATCTAATCTAACCTATATCTTCCCTTAGTCTTAGGGGTCTTAGTTTAAAAGTGTTCCCCCTAGTCCTGTATGTATCCATCCTCATTAACAGACATACCCCCCGTACACTGAGTACTCAACTCAATGTTGAGTATCTCAACTCAGAGTTCATTGGCAACATAATTTTGACGCAAAGGCATACAGAAGTGACACTTAGATCAACAAAATGACAAACAGTACTTTTTCTTGTAACCTTCTTTTAAAAATCCTTACTGCTAATCAGTGAAATTAATACACGCATTTTTTTATTTGAAGAGCAAATATCTCAATTTTTACCTTTATACCTGTGTTCATAGAGTAAATTTAAATCTTGACTTCTTATATAAACATATTTGTGTTTGAAAATGTTTCACCTGTTTAGCTATTGCAAAGATGGCTCTTAAGCATTATCATCAACAATTAGAATTTCATTAGCTCTCTTCCGTAATGATCAGAAACAGAGATTTTATTTGTACAAATGAATCTAATCTTACTACCTTTTAGGAAGACTGAGGCTTGAACTTAGTATTGGTAGAACCTATGTACCCTAATATTTTAGTTTGAACAAGAGATGAGTCGCTTCATGCATCTCAGTCAAGATTCTGCTACTCACTGGCATCTAGGCTGAGCACTAATGGATTTCCTCATTCCTAACATGTTCTGTGAGAGGTAAGAAATGGCATGCTGAAGAAGTTGACCTGAAAATCAACATCTACAGCTGGATGGTCAGGAACAAACGTTCCTTTTCCTGCTCCTTACCCAAAGGCCTCTGCATTTAGCTTTGAGTTTGGTCTTCAGCTGTGGCTGCTCTCTTGCAGTTCTTAATGTATTAAAACAGCAAAAAAGAAAAACTGTCCAAAAAGCATTTCACACTCCAAAGCATGTGAACTCACTCCATTTCTACAACAGTATCTTTGATGTGTTATCTCATGTGCAAGCAAACAAGCTTTTTACCTGCGATCAGAGCAAGGAATCCCCACAACACCTTTTCAGGAAACTGTGATCAGCCTTCTATTGTAAGCTCTGCTCTCCTTTCCAACCCTTTTCTGACTCTGTGTTGTTTTTTTTCCCCACATAGTTAGTGAGGAAGAACAAGAATGACCAGTAGTGATGATTACCCATCAGCAGTGATGGATGCCCCATTCCTGGAGGTGCTCAAGGCCACGTTGGATGGGACCCTGGGCAGCGTGACCTGGTGGGGGGCAGCCCTGCTCACAGCAGGGGTTGGGACAGAATGGACCCCTTCTAACCCAAACCATTTTGTGATTCTATGACATGTTTCACTGCAAGACAGAAATTGACTGCTAACAACATGTTCTGTACCAACTGTAATTCTTGTCTATCTTTAAGTACAACATAAGTTTAAGTCAACTCTACCAGAACCAGGTTAATGATATGCAGTGTATCAGTAGCATTCAGATAGGGTGAAGGAGTGTTAGCTCATACATCTGAAGCTTAGTTCTCTGCCTTGCCCAGGGCTAGCAATGGAAATAGCATTTAGAATCACAGAATCAAGAAATGGTTTGGTTTTGAATGAACCTTAAAGATCATCTAGGTCCAATCCCCTGCCATGGACAGTTACCAATCACTAGGTCTACAGTCTTGCCTAATACTGGAGTTTCTTTGTCTTCATGGACAAAATATTTGGCGTTCCCAGGGCGACTCGAAGACCAAAACCAAACAAATATTAATGCAGTGATCATTTTTTGTGACCAACACTGAAGCATGCATTTGCAGCACAGAGCTTTGTGCCATGTGTCACAGGGGTGACAGGAGGGTGCAGAGGTGGCCCAGCTGGAAGGAGGCTCACAGCAAACACACCAAACACCGGCACTGAGATGGAGCCAGATGCCAAATGTGTTGAATGGGAACTGTGGCTTTCAAACATCTACAGCTACAACACCTTTATCAAAGTGCTTTCAAAGCCAACTTAGATCTTCCACCTTCTAAGCATGATCATGTGCCACCTCAAATATTGCTTACGGTCATTTACTAATTAGACCTCTAAGATCATCAGTCCAACCCTTCCAAGAATAAACCTAATCTCTCTTGAAAGTCATTTTGAAACGTCATTTGGCAGCCGAGCCCCAGCAACCAGGACAGCTTTCCATCGGCTGGCAAGATTGCACAACCTGTCCCAACTCCACCCGGACGGGGCTCCCCCCGCTCCCTTCCCACCTCCAACTCCAGCCCCGAAGCGGCGGGGAGGGCAATGCCCCGAGCCTTGGGCTGGCCTCAGCCAGTCCCAGCCCCGCGGCAGGCGGAAATCCCCGGCGGAGGAGGGGAAAGCGGAATGGCCTGACCCGGGCTATCCGGCAAGGCATAGCGCGGCTCAGCCAGCTGCAGCGATGAGGCGGCGCGGGTGAGTAAGAGGGAGAGCGGGCGGCCGGGGGCGGGAACCTCGCAGGGGTCCTCAGCAAAGCGAGAGTGACTGAGGGGCTCGGGGGATTGGGAAGCCGGGTTATCTCCGAGCCGCTCCGCAACCCGATGGAGAGAGCGGTGTGTGGGCTGTCAGCCCATCGCGTGCCCGAGCTGCATTGAGTTTTTTACGGAGCGATGAATGGGAGAGGGGCCAGTGGCTTCGATGGCATGGATTGGTGCTGTCTGAACAGTGGGAGAGCAGCAAAGCGTCACAGACAGTCCGTATATCAACGAGAGCAAGAGGAAAAGAGATTTTGCTGCAACAGAGGGGATAAAGCTGTGAAGCATACATATGGAAAAAAAGCCCAAAGTCATTATTGCAAGCATGAGATCAGCTTTTATCGGGCTATTTTGTACCAGAACAGCACTGTCTTTTGACTACTGAATAAGTAGCTCATGAAAAAGCTGAGATGCTGGTAGAAAGAGTTAACTCACTGAGCAAGAATGCTTGAAAGAGGAAGTACAACTTTCTCCCATTTCGCATGATATTTAAAAAAGAGTAGTAAAAGAAGAAGGTGTGGGGAAAAAAGGAGAAAACTCCTACACTACTCCTACACTATCCTTAAAACAATAATAATTTTTTAAAAAGAGTGATGCTAAGGGGTTAGTGTGTTGAACACATGAGCTGCACATACACACAGTGCAAAGAGAGATTTCACTGCTCTCTGCAGGCAAGAACGCCTCCCCGTTCCAGCAGAAGCTTGGCATTAAGGGGAAGACTTGGGCTGAGACAGCCCACACAGCCACAGCTGCAAAGTCCTCAGAGAATGAGCATCCGTAGGTCTGTCCAACAGTATATGCGGCATAATCTACTGAAACAACAAATGAGATTTACTCGTATGTATTACAAAGTGGACTCTGGCTGATTAACTAAGAATTCATTGATATCTGCAAATGCCTCCTATGGGAAACTCCCTGCGGAGTCCCACAACAAGCGATCCATTGTCGTTTTCCATTTAATGCAAATGACTTGCTACATCCAGAATTTCTAACTTGGGTGGGGAACAGCAAAACAAATACAACCCAGGATTAAGAAATATATTCAGGTGAGCTTTGAGGCAGACATTTACAAGCTTGGCACAAGATACACAGATACTTCTGCAGAGGGTGAATACAGCAAAAATATAGTGTGAAACCACACACACCCAAAGTTGCTGCCAGGAATGCAAGCGAAGCTGCCTCTGTGCAGTTTTTAGTTATACACACGTGGGATACTTGCACTTCTGGCTGACTGCAGATTTGCTAAACTGAGTGCTACACTTCCACCTTTCTCAAAGCCTTATAAGGAGAGCATGAGATTACTCAGGCTTTATAGGTATGTGAAACTGGGTTTTCTTTTATCAACTATCAGGTGCAACTCTGCTGGGGAGGTCCCTCATTGTTTACTTCTCCAAAGGAATAGCACACACCAAGCGCTTTCCATCAAAACCTTTGAATGACTCCACATTATCACTGTTTCCTGTTTACATGTTTTATTGAGGGCAGAAAACACACTGCTGCTTACAGGGTCATAACTCCCAACAACAGGATGCAAGGCTCTGACCCAAAACTCAGCCTGCACAGCTGCTCACCTTCCAGCGACCGGGGTACAGCCCAGGGATAGGGGGGCTTCCTGTCCATCTGGGTGGTTTGCCTTCAGCAGATAAGATGGGCATAACATCAGCTGTTCTGCTCTGGATTCCAGTATCAGTGCATTTTGCTTCTATTTGTGGCTTCAGCCACCCACCCCTGGTTGTGTTGTTTGCAAGAAGTTTGGCAGCTGTCAAAAATGCAAATACTTTAAGGGGAATTTGCATAATTGTCATTGTTACTTTATTTATCTACTTCTACACTCCTGAAACAATCAATATTATGCTTATCGTTTGTGTAAACAATCCAGAAACTAACACCTATTTTGTAACATTTCTGTTTTCTTTTTCTTTTAGTTACGGATTTCTGTTACTGTTCCTTCACATCCTGAAAGCTGGTAAGTTGAGAACCCTTCAGTTAAAATGAATTTGCCCTCTTCAAAGTTCTTGGCCAATTAGGCGAATTACAATTTAAACACCTGCATGTTTTCAGCAAACTCATGAGAATTCCTCAATGAGATGTTCCTGTGGTACACATCAGGGAATGAAGATCAGTTTCTGCCTGTTTCCATATACAGACTAGCAAGGAACTAGCAGTTCCTACAGACTAGCAGTTTTACTCAAATTGCTCTGTTTGCTTCACAGACATCCCCACTTATTTATGTCTAAGCACCAATAGAAGTCCTTAGAAGTGGATGTTGATAACCAATCTCATGTGCTTACATCAAGTCAGTGCTCATAATATGCCTTAATTATCCATTACTGTGTCGAGTGCCCAGAATTAGCATATCATCTACTACACTTCTAAACTTCACTTTCAGAATAAAGATAAGGTTAAAGGACGTCACCTGGTGATATTTAAATATTTCTAGAGATGCCTCTCCCTTCTTCCTTAACGACTAGGAAGCATGTAATATCATCAAGGAAACTTCGTGTCCCCCAAAACAGGACAAACTGTAGCAGTTTGTCTCAGTGAATGCTGGCTGACCCATCCTATAGAAGACCAGTAAAGGAGGTGCCTCCAGGCAATGCTTTTTGCAGCATCACTTTTCCCACTGCTTCAAGGAGTTTCCCCAGGTCTGAGAAACATCCCTGCTGCTATTCAACCCTGCTGCTTCTCCCTGTGCCCAGGAAAGGTCATGGGCCTGGAAGCAGACACAGCTTTCCTCCCCGCACTGTTTTTAAGCCAGATGCCCAACCCTTCAGAAGTGGGTGAGCTCATTCTGAAACCACTTACCAGAAGAAGAGGCTTCATCTATCCTACTAGAGGCCTGGAAAAGTGCACTGAGAACCAAATATGGTACTGCCCTATCTCAGGTGGCTCTCAGGGGCTGTAAGTGTCTAATGGATGTGTCACTAGCTGTATATGGTCATGGTAGTTTATTTGTTCAGAGGGTGACGCCTGCAGGTAATAAAAAACGTTAACAGTACAGATATGCCCGCTTTGAGACACACCTGGTTGTTTGTTGGTTTTTTTTTTTCACCTGCCTTTTTTATTTTGTTCTAAAAATAGCAGTAGCACTCTCTTATCTGTATTTCCAGTCCTTATGATTTCCCTACAGCATTTTTCTTACTCAAACAAAGTGACTATTGATGCACTTGGATTTGAGTATGTGTCTGCAGCCAGTTTAGTCTGACTGTCCTCCAGCCATGGGGCTGGGAACAATTAGACTAGTTGACCGTGGAGGAATAAATAAGCAGAATGCTTTATACTGTAAAAGGTCCCTTTGGAAAATACATAGGCAAATAGACACATAGAATTAGCCACTGTTGAAGAGGAGCAGGTCAAGAAGGACCAACTGAAGTGAGCATCATCACTTGTTAGAATACAAATACTGGAGACAGTGAATCATTAAATCATTAATGTTGGAAAAGACCACTAAGATTGTCTAGTCCTCTCATCTGTCTGCTGCCACTGTGCCCACTGCCCACGTCCCTCAGTGCCACATCCACACAGCTCTTGAACACCTCCAGGGATGGTGACTCCACCACCTCCCTGGGCAGCCTGTGCCACTGCATCACCAATCTTTCAGAGAAGAAATATTTCCTAATATCCAACCTGAGCCTACCCTGGTACAATACAAGGCCATTCCCTTTTGAGTTCAATTGTGGTAGAATGTACGTTAAAAAAAAAAAAAGAAAGAAAGAAAAAAACTTTTTTTCATGCAAATTCCCCTTATTCTCCCTCTTTTTATTTTTGCAGTTGCTGCGCTGGAGAAGATCGTCAGTAAACCTGGGGACAACGTTACACTGAGTTGCATTTATCCAGGAAGAGAATTCAGCTTAGACAGTCTGCGAGTATACTGGCAAATAGCTGATGATGAAGATACAGAGCCATGTTCAGTAGTGCATGCACTGATCTCTGGTCAAGACAATGAAAGTCTGCAATGCAGTCAGTTTAAAAACAGGACTCAGTTATTATGGGATAAACTAGGAGATGGCAATTTTTCTCTGCTACTATTTAATGTCAGACAGAGCGATGAACATACATACCGATGTGTAGTGATGCAGACAATTGAATATACCAGAGTGATTCACCAGGAGCAAGTGGTTCTAAGCCTAGCAGGTAAGAACTGTTACTGCTTGCATGCGTTTGCCCAAATTCTAATTCTAGTGGTTTTAGTTAGTGCCATTTTCATAGTGTCTTTAAGCACGTACTAATGTTGGAAACGTATCTTTTGTGGGTCCCTTCCACCTTGGGATATTCTATTTTCTACTTCAATACTTTGCAGGAATGAAATTTACTTATTTTAAATGTTACAGATAGAGAATCTACAGTTGTAACAACCATTTATCCAGTGTTGTTCGCTTGTTGCTTCTCAACTTGTCATTAATGTACCATACAGTCATTATTCTGAAATTGATGAATATGTCATCAATATGCACTAACAGATAATTGGGTCACAGTAGTTTAGAAACTTGCTTTCATCCTTTGAAATTGGCATTAGCTTTCTGCCCTCCCAGCAGTTCTCACAGTACTTTGGCTTATGTACCAAGCCCGACAAATGTTTTCCTTTCAAGTTGTGAGGGTCTCATGTAACCCAGAGCTCCTGATCCAGAATTCGTGTCAAGATTCTTTATTTCCAATACATCTCAAAGTTGTGACAGCCATTTCCTTTTCCCTTTCTCTCCAGCTAGTTACAGCCAACCAATACTCAGTGGGCCTATAAGAAACAGTTACAACACTGGAGAAGAGGTGACTTTCATCTGCAGATCTGACAATGGATACCCTGAACCAAATGTTTATTGGATAAATAGAACAGACAACACACGCCTGTCTCAGTCAGGTTTTAATATCACCCAACATCCCAACGGCACTTACAGTGTTTTGAGCACACTGAAGGTTAAAGCAACTTCTGATATGCAAATAGAGTGCTTCATAGAAAATAAAATACTGCAGGAAAACACATCAGCCAACTGTAAGTTCTTCTGTCACAATTCCTGTTTTCTAAATAGCTGATATATCAATCAGCATGGCTCTGTCTGTAAAGATGCACTAACAAGGGCATAAAAAAAATTCAGTAGTTCCAAAAAAAACACTAAGAAAGCTCAGTTTTTCCCTATCTTCTTAGCTATAGAATTTATTCTTCAAAAATAAACCTAGCACCCCATTGAGTATGTCCTGACGATAGTACTGAGTAGCTCTATTTTTCAAGGCAGTCACTAGACTCTACCTTTGGGTTCCTTGCATTAGATTACTATTCAAATGTTACCATGCAGTTGATCTGCAATACCTGAACTCTCTGTCTGATGGCTTTGTAGCACTCATATTTGCTTTGTGCTTTGTCTAGTTTTGAAGTTCTGCTTTCAGTCTCCAAAACTCAACTCAATGCACTGCTTAAAGGAGGCCTGTAGCTAACAGTTACCATTATCCCAATAGAACAACACTTCTAATATCACAAGTGCAATAGGCTATTTACAGCTGATGTTAGCAACCAATAGGAGGAACACAAGTATTTAGGCACTATTTTTCACAAAATTTGAAAACTATTAAAAAACAAAAGCTCTAAAAAGGTTACAGCCACAAGGCCAGTAGTGAATGTCACAGTCCCTGAGTAGCTATGCTATGGAGATAAACTATTTGCAGTGGTAGAACTTCTCCTGATTTGGCTGTTCAATCTCCTTGCAGTTCTTAGTTCTGGCTCCCACCACCTTCTTTCCCAGCTCTAGCATGCCGTATCCTGAGATTGGCAGGAAGGAAGAATGAAAATGAAAGCGTGCAATATGATGACAATGGGGGGATGAAGTGGCACTGTATGATTATATTAACAAGTTGTCTAAGATAGAGATGGGCCTTGCTCAAAAGGAATACCTTCACAACCACAGTGAGAAGAATAACACAAATAATTAGTCCCTCAGGATTTTTGTGTGTGTGTGTGTGTAAGACATAGTCACATTGTTGCCTGATATGAATGAGCAAATTTACAGCTTATTGCATCCTCTTTCTATTTTATTCTAGACACAGACAAATCTAGACAAATCAATGATTCCAGCACAGGAAGTCATAAAGACCCAGCAAAAAGCGGACAAGGTGCTCAAGCAGCTGCAGTTGTGTCAGTTGTTATTCTGATGGCTTTTCTGACTGTGTTAATCTGCTGGCTGCGGAGACGGAGATCCTCTCAACTAGTGTCATACACAGGTAATGAGGCCCTTTATTTGTGCGACTAAATCTCCAGGGAAGACCTGGGTCAAGTGGGGAAAAGCTCTTGCCCAGCTCCTGCAGAAGCTGGTAGAGGCCACGTTCTTCCTTCAAAAAGTTGAGCTGTGCAACTCTTTTCCAAAACATGGAGCAGTGGAGTTCAAGCCCAAAAATCTATCCTTCCTGAAACAATGACCTAGACTGTAAGGAAATAGAGTATGCAGCCCGTTTTGCTGTCCAGAGAGCATTTACCACCCTCCCCCTCAACTTTGTAACTGCTGTACAGATACTGTGGCAAAACTTGACAAATTGTTTTAAATGCTGATTCCTCACACCCAGATAACAAGGACCACTGATTATATCAATACCCATGATAAAAGGGTTGTTCCCTGCTTTGCTAGGCATCATATCCTTGAAAGTCTTTTGCTTAGCTACACAGACAGGTAATTTACTTTATGTCTATGAACTTGAGCCTGCACACAGCCAATTAAAACAAACAAACAAATAAATACTAAGCACTCATTTCCAAGGAAAAACAGGGTTCAGACTTCCAACATTTTCATAATCAAGATGACAGCGTGTTTTACAATTCACTATATATAGCAGGGGTTAAAAAAAAAAAAATTGAAAAATCCAAGACATTTGGAAAAACAAGCTCAGCACAGCCAACTAGTGAGTGCACAAAGGGCATGAAATATTTGCCTATTAATTTGGTAATTTTTGGTGAAACAAATGACCGTTAACAGTCTTTTCAGAACAGACACAAAATGCTGTGGTTCTACCAAAGCTTGTAATATTTGAAACAATAGAAAGCATAGTCTGCATTAGCAGATGCAGTGAAAGCACCAATTGATAGTATCCAGCAGAAGCAAAATAACCCTTAAAAAGAAAAATGTCAAGAACTAATGTTGTAGTCGTGCAAACTGGATCAATGGTCAGTTGTTTTGCAGGCCCATCATGCGGTCACAATCTGATTCACAAAAGCTGTGTTTGCTAAATATCAACAGACACTGCACTGTTTCCCACAGAGGGTCATGTAGAAAGAAGGATTACTTATATCTCTTCAGATAAGAAACAATTTCTTCTTCATTCCTATGTGTTGCATTAGCATAAATCCTAGCAGTTTGTTAAACATCAACCTTTCCTCCTCTGACTTATACCAGGCCCTACACAATTAGGTTTCTGGGCTTACCCGTACCTAGAAAAACCCTGACATAAATAAAAGTAAATATTTATTTTATATTGAAAGCTGCTATAGCAAAATTTGTTTAATAAAAACAAAATGAAGACACTTTGTAAACACTGTATTTTCCTTGGCATAACTCTGTACTGTTTGTGGAAGAGGAGGTGGGACAGCAGCTTTTATATTTTCTTACTATCAGAATCTGTCACACCTCCAAGGGCAATTTTCTGCCAACAAAGCTGTGGAAGACATTGAAGGGAGAGGGTGCTAAGCCTTTTGATCATCCCAATTTGGAGACAACTTAGACCAAAACCAGAGAAATGATCATTGATGAAAAAAATCGGTTGTCATTGCCGTTTCCCCTCTAAACAATAACATACAGACAAAATAACAATCTTCTTTGGAGAGTCTTTACAGAGGACAATTTATTTATTGTCCTAACCCCACGGTCAACATGCTTTCAGGCACAATGAATTTAAACAAAGAAGATTTAAAATGCATGTTAGGAAAACAGCTTCCCTAAGGGAAATAGTTGAGCACTGCAACAGGCTACCAAGTCTCCATCAGCACCAGCATGCTGTTGGCCTTTTTTTTTCTTTTTTTTTCTTTAAACAACAAAGAAAACATGATAAATATCCTAGAAGTACCTGGTGCATCATTGGGGCAAGAAGGTTGTCTCTTGGAGAAATTCCATCACAATTCAACTGTCACCAGAGATTTTCAAGCACACTGTGTGATAGGGAGTAAGGCACTACAGAGGTTGCACCCACCAGGAAGCTCTGCCATGGCATTCTGCTTTTCAACGCTGGTATGTTTCTGCTACTGGTGATTTGACTATGAAGATCAGATTGCTTTGGGAGGTGGAATCCTGAATACTGCAAGAACAAGAATCATCTACTGAGACTAGCTGCTATTAGAAAGAAAAAGATTTTGGAAATGGGAGGAAGATGCAAAGAAGCCTAACTTCATCTCCATAGGATTTAGTCTCTCCAGCTGTGCATTGTAGTTGGTGGGGCAAGATGTTTCACTCAGGAGAAATTCAGACCTGGATCCAAAACTGCTGTTCTGACTGCTGTCCAGAGAGATCCCTCCACTGCCTGTAGAGCTGCCTTAGGAAGCTAGTTTCTTTTGACTACATATAGGCTACATATAGTGCATCTGATTTTTGGATGGTCCTGGGTGGAACCAAGAGTAGGACTTGATGATTCTTCTGGGTTCCTACCAACTAGGGATATTCTATGATCTCTTTATCTGAGATTATCTTAAAAGAAACCAAAAATGCCACTGACATCCCTTTCTTTCTTTTCAGCTCATTCCACCAATTATAAAGGAAAAATAACACTAGGAGATGATTATTTATGTGGGCTTTTGTTGTTGTTGTTTATTTATCTTTTTTTTTTTCTTCTAAAAATCAGTAATTTTGTTTTTACAGCACCTATCTAATAGGAATGTCTGCCAACAACTTAGGCAGCTGGAGGTGCATCAAGAGGAGCATCACCCCTTGTCCCAGCAGCAACATTGCTTGTAATACAAGCGACAGGTTTCTGCAGAGTGTGCCAAGATTGATGGCAAAAAGCTTCTTCAACAGAAGAAAAACCAAAATCCATTGGATTCCTGTTCTGACCAGGAGCTGTGTCTCAACACCTGCTAACTTCTTCAGTTGGTTTTCAGTGATAGCTGCCAGTGTTTTGAGCTCTTATGCTGGGGAAGAGCAGTGAGCCTCGCACTTAGCTACTCTGTTCTAGAGTCTCTCGCCATCACCACTGAGGAATTTGTTTTGAGTACAAGTAGCCATGTTTCAGGAGCATGGGAAATTCTGTTTCCTTCTCCTTACGCTGACAGTGAATGTGAAAAGGCAGCTAAAAATGAGGAAGAAAAGAAAACTGAAGGACTTTCTACGAAGGGAGATTTGTAACTTTTTCCACCTTTCTCTATCTACAGTACATTCTGTCGTTGGTTTCACCAGCTACATGTTGTTACGTACAGAATGAGCTAGACTATATTCACCTGATCCCAATAAAATAGGTTTTGCCGTGGCTGGGTTAAGCACTGAATGTGTAAACAAAAATAAATCTCCTTTAAAGGCACTTGATATTAAAATTGTATTCTTTACTGAATATTCTACCAAAAAGAAGACTTCAACTTGCTACAGAAGCTGGTGCTTACTGTGGAAAACAGATTAAAAACAGTGCTCTGATATAGGGTTACCTCAACATATCTCTGCCTGGATGAAACGAGAAATCCATATTCAGGCTCTGTTCAATTCAGCTTGTCTTTATTTAAGGCCAGCAGCACCCAGGGAGAGTTTCGAACTGATTTTTTTTTTTTTTTTTTTTTTTTTAATGCTTCTTGTCTCATCCTTTCACCAAAGAAAAAGGAGTGCAAAGCAATCAATATGTTAACCATGAATGTTCTTGTCATATTGATGGCTAAAGGAAAGAAAGGGAAGAAAAGTGAAGAACAGCATTTTCTTCCACATGCCATTGCCCGTGCCTTACTTGTTCAGCTCCGACTGAGCTGGAGCAAATAGATGAAGAGAGCAAACAGTAAGTGTGACTGATAGCCTAAAATTTTGGAGGAGAATAAATCAATATTAGTCCTCCTCTGTTGGGGTGGGTGGTGGTAATGATTTTAATACTGAGTCCAGGAAAAACTCCCGCAGCAGTTGCTAGACTAAAATTCTACTATTTCTGCAGTCACAGCCTGGTTTGTCCTAGCTCCATATAGAGAAGGCTGTCCAGCGTCAACCACAGGTTAGGAAGTTTCTGTTTGTTTGTTTTAAATCAAGATCAGCTTTCAAATCCTAATGAAGAAAAAAAAAAATTACCTTTTTCTCTCTTTGTGCAAAACCCATTTGGTGACACCTTCTGTTGAAACAATACCCCTATGTGGGCTCAGAGTTGGCTAACTGCACTGTCTGTATTAGGTAGGAGTCTCATGGGCTCAGCCTTTGTGACACTCAAGGGAAGGAAAAGTACAGCTCTCACTTGATGCAATCTGAGCTCACTCCCCGGTTTGAGTAGGATAGAAAAATTTTTTAAAAAGGTCCAAGCTATAACTAAATAATTGTTCATGTCTCCTGTCTGCAAGTAACTGTGTACGATAATGTTTTAAAGACATCTTGTCTATTCATGTTAGAAAAGCATTGTATATTTGTTAACTTTTAATGTCTGTTCTTTTATTGCTAAAAAAAAAAAAAAAGAAAGCTGTTCTTTTATTTATTAATTCCATTTTTGCCATATCTTTCATTCCTATTCACAACCATAACATACCCTACCAGGCAGGACATTTAGCTCACAATATGTTTCAGATTAAGTAGACTTACAGCATGTCATTAATCTTAAGCATCCACTTTTTGTCGCTCATCTCTTGTCCATTAATCTAAGTGTTTGAAATCTTCTGAGCCCATATTTAATCTTCAGGCAAAAATCTATTCAGTGTTTGCTGAAGACAGAATGCAAGCTCGCAAACACATTTGAAATGTGACTGCCACCTGCACAGATGTGAGGGGCAACCATTTCCTGGTGGTTCAGTGAGCCATTTTCTCACTCTCTATCCTGTGAAGTTGTTTTGGGTAACCTTTTTAGCGCCAACGTAACTGACAGAAGCCTTCTATAAAAACAATTTTCCTCCTTCGTTTTCTACCAGTACAAAAAAATCATAGTGCTTCAGAGATGTAAGGGGTGACCTAGCAATCACTCCACAGTATGCTGTTGAGAAAATTTAGATCAGAGAAGTTCTTACTTTTGGCTTTACTTCATGACACATAGTGAATACATCTAAGAACAACAGCTTGCTCTTGCAAAATCCATACTTTCAACTGGTTTAAGTTTCCAGCTGTTTTTGGAGGCAAGAAAATCCAAGATGACAGCTGTTTGTTACTTGGAAATTCTGTAATAACAGCTTGTCATCACATACTATGTTTATATTATAAATAAAAGCCTATTAATTCTTCTTTATGTTTCACTAAGTCTATCAACACAGTCAAGACAAGCTACAACAGAACGATGCTTCAGCTAAGGCACTATCAACTGAACTCCTCTAGGCATGCAAGTGGTCCTTTCCAAAGCCCTCAGATAAGAAGAGACTGACGAAACACAGAAGCTCTGCAAGCTTTTGCTACATCTTGTTCAAGGTGTAGAGCAAGTGGAGCAAAAGCTGTGCAGTAGCTCAAAAATAGCACAAAGCCTGGGCTGGCTGACACATCCTTTGCTCACCCACCTTAGGAGCCCCTAACAGAGCCAAGATACAATGATCACTCCCACTTCTAGAACCAAAACCCTCGCTTCACTGTCCCAAGCTGGTGTTGCACTTGAACATCAACATCATTTTATTTCCTTCCGTTAAAGGCATCAGCACACACGAATCCTACCTCCAAGAAACTTAAACACCTTGCACAGAAAAGCACCGCTTCTGTTGTGCTGTGGAAAGACTCGAAGAAATGGACTTTCACAGAAAAGCGAAAGGCTTTCACTGTGGGATGGCTGGTAAACCACAAATGGAAAGCCCCGAGAGAAAACATACATTGCTACTGAGCAACCTAAATCCATCCTTAGAGTAGTTAGATTTTTTATTTAAATCTTTTAATTTGTGTGAGCTGAAGACTGAAAAATATTTTCCTTTTTTCCATTTCAACAACTGTGTCTCTAGCCACTTTTACTCACTGCTCATATTACATCAGAAAACCTTAGTACAAACTGCTTTTGCAAAACGCCAAGATGATTCTTCTCATATCTATGGCTATTGATTAATTAAAAAGACATGAAAGAAGGGAGACAAAAAGTCTGAACTTCTTCCAGAGCACTGTAGCTGCCTTTAGAACAAGGCAAACTCAAAGCACTTTTATCAATTTATATTGGACACATCCTTAGACAGCCAGCTCAGATCAGTATGACAAAATATCAGCAACACTGGAATCACAGTCATTTTGGGTGGAACGGACCCCAAAGCCCACTCAACCCCCATCTCTGCCATGGGCAGGGCTGCCACTCACCACCAGGTTGCCCAAGGTTCCATCCAACCAGGCCTCGAGAGGCTCCATATTAGCAAATTACCAAAAGTTCTATTACAGACATTGTCTTCTTGAAGTGCTTCTTCACTTTCCGCATATACTCTGATGTTTCTGTGTACACCTGGCACTAGCTGCAGCTCAGGAAGTTGCTCTTTAATTAAAAATACATTAATGAATTCTCTTATCAAAATTATGAGGAAAATCCAGTCCTGTCATGGCTGCCAATCTTCTGAACCGGTCAAGAGATCTGGCCACTGGCCAGAAATTTATAGTCCCTTCTGGTGAAATTTACTGAGTCTTTCTGTACAAAGTGGCCAGGAGCCAGCACTCCAGGAAGGTCCCATAAACTCCTGACATCATCCCACACAACTGTTTAACTTCAGGATTTTGTTTGTGTTTAGTGGATTTAAATGTTCAGTCCATTCATGAGGCAGACCTGCCTGCTAAATTGCTGTTCATGCTCATGGAACAGCTTTATCCAGCTGAGAGCTGGAAGAATAAAGAGAGGGAAAAAATAGTGTTCATCTGCACCAGCCCAGTGAAACACGCAGTGTGGGAATGTTTACTTTTTTAGAACAAAGTAGGCCTTCAGCAGAGCTCTTATCAAGCATATATAATCTATCTGGCTGGAGTCATCAACCACAAGAACCATTAGGCACAAAGAAATCAAGCCAGTGCCTTTTGTGAATATTTTTGGCAAAGCAGCAACTGCTGACAAGATTCAGACAATGTGCTTTAACTTCATTTCTGAGCAATTCCTATCAAGACATAACATATCTGGATGGAAAATTTCTAAATGAACAAACATTCAAACAAACAGTTCCTCAGAAACAGAAAACTCGGCAAAAGAAAAGGTGATTGACCACTAAGCCCTGAGGCTATGTTTACTGCGTCAGCAGGCCTTCTGCCCTGTGAAGAGAGAGATCATTCATGTGTTACCTACTTTCCCTGGGAAGACCCAATTGACCCAGTTTTTGCAATAAAACTTGCATGTCCCCATGCTGAACTCCTAGTAGCCCCACAGAATCCTAGGCATAGAGTTGTGCCCCTACCCACATGCTTCTCAAAAGCCTTTGGGGGTAGCCAGGGAAGGAAGGAATTTCATTTTTTATTTTTTAATAGTCTCTGAGCAGGAGGAGATCACTGAGAATGAGAGGCAATGGTCTCAAAGTGCACCAGAGGGGATTTCATTAGGATATTAGCAAAAAATTCTTCTCAGAAAGAACAGTGAGGCATAGGCTGCTCAGGGAAGTGGTGGAGTCACCGTCCTTGGAGGTGTTCGAGAGCCGTGTGGATGTAGCACTGATGGACACGGGCAGTGGGCATGGTGTGATGGACTAATGGTTGGACTGGGTGATTTTAGAGGTCTTTTTCAGCCTTCTATGGCTGTGCATCCAGACAGATCCCAGGCAGGAATTTTGTTGTGAAGCTGGAAATGGATCCTTATCCCCTCTTAGGAAGGTCTAGCTTTAAAGCCCAGCACACTTATGCATTGCCTACGATATTTTACACAGTGTAATGAAGTCATAATCACTGCACACATAGATGCCGGGAAGGGATAAATCAGTCAGCTTGTAGAAAACAAATAACCATAACATTTATCTATTGGCTGGAAACTCCATGCAAGCAGTTAGCATAACTACTTTTGTGCAAGAACAGGATAAAAATAGGAAAAAAAAAAAAAAAAAAGGAATAGTTAAGGACCTTCAGAGATCAAACCCAGCCTGATCACTTTGGGGCTAACCAAGACTTAAAGCATATTTTTAAGGCATTACTCAGATCCCTTGAAAACTGACTTCATGGGGCATCAACCACCCTGGTAGGAAGCCTGTTCCAGTGTTTGATCGCCTTCAGGGAAAAGATGTTTTTCCCTGGTTCAGTCTGATTCTTCTCTGGTGCAGTTCATTGCCATTTTCATGTGTTGTACCACGCTTGCAAGGAAAGGGTAAAGTCTCACCTTTCACTTTGCTTCCCTTCCTAAGGGAGCTGCAAAAAGCAATGAGGCCTCCTTTTCTCCAGATGGGACACCTCAGCCTGTCCTCAAGAGAAATAAGCCTTTCTTACCGGTCCTGCTGCCCTTC